TAAAGTATGTTAAGATATTATTAACTATAAATCATTATTATTATTAATAGGATGTTACATTACATTATCCTCCAGTACATTACATTGTTAGTGTACACAATATTACTATTAATACAACTGATACTAATGTAACTATTAATGGACTATATCCCAATAATGAATATACTGTATACATAAAACCAGCTAATGCTATTGGAGAGGGACCACTGATGAACATTACAGGTTTGTTTATTATAAACTGATGAGTATATTTAGTGTATTGTGTTCAACCTTTAGTCAACATAACTGATCAACAGTCCATTTCAACAACAACCACTTTAACTGGTCAGTATATATAATTATACAAATGTCTACTAGATTAGATCTAATGCTTTCCATTCCATATTTGTTATAGTTTCAGTTACTGAAAGTTTATCTGATGCTATCACGAGTAGCAGCAATGACAGATCCATTTCAATGTCAATATCTCTGACGATCATTGATAATACATTAGTATCAGAAATTTCAAGCAGCATAGAACCATCAACAATATCAAGTTTGTGCTAAATACATTTTATATTATAATACTGAAATCTGTTCAGTGCAATGCTTTCTTACTAACTGACATTTTATTGCAATTTGTAAGCACCTGAAAATCATCCAAAATTTTTAATCAATAAGTTGCTATTGCCTAGGATTTGTTCATAAATGGCTCCAAAAATTATCTATATTTTTTCTGATGCTTGATGTTCTTATGCTGTGTAGAAACTGGGCTATAACCCAAGGTTTTTCAAAAAGTGGCTTTTTTCAAAAGTTTGAGCTGATTCCAATATCAATTTTTCAAGTTACAGCCAGTTAAAAAATAGGCCAAAATCTGAAAAATACCCAAGGCTATAGCTCATGGTTTTTTCAGAAAAATGGCTCCAAAATCACCCCTAATTTTTATTACATTTTCTGATACATATTGATGTCCTTATGCTGTGTAGAAAGTTTGAGCTGATCCCGATATCAATTCTTCAAGTTACAGCCATTTTATAAAATGGCCCAAAATCTAAAAAAACCCAAGGCTATATAGCCCATGGTTTTTTAAGAAAAATGGCTCCAAAATCACCCAAAAATTTTGTTACATTTTCTGATACATATTGATGTCCTTATGCTATGTAGAAAGTTTGAGCTGATTCTGACATCAATTTTGAAAGTTATGATCATTTTTAAAAGTAGGCCAAAACTTGAAAAATACCCAATATAGCCCATGGTTTTTTCTGAAAAATGGCTTCAAAATCACACCACATTTTTATTACATTTTCTGATACATATTGATGTCCTTATGCTGTGTGGAGAGTTTGAGCTGATTCCGACTTTAATTTTTCAAGTTACAACCATTTTTAAGAAGGCACCAATTTCTAAAAAATACCCATGCTATAGCCCATGTCCTTTCAATCCCAAAATGGTTTAATTTTTTAACATTATCTGATTATATAGTAAACTGCTAAATCATGTTTACAAATTAGTGACAGAGTTAAGCATGTGGCTAAATTTCAACTAAGTAGTCAATTTACACTTTTCAGTTATTATTACATTTATTAGGCTGTGCTTCTGCCACATCACAATCAACATGTACAGGATCCATCATCAGTTCTGGTTAGTTAATACATTAATGTATGTACATATCTAATGTATCTATTATACACACACATTCAGTTGCTATTGCAGTACCTATCACTGGTCTATTAACTGGACTCATTACATCAATAATTACTAGTATCATTGTATACTGTATAATGAAGAATAAAGGGAATACACTAAGAGAAAGATCACCAGTAGACATTGGTCCAATATATGATTTACCAACTTTCAACAATGAACAACAAGAACAAGTCATTGATACTAAATTTAACAATGCATACGGACACATCTATAACTGATAGTGTTGCTATTCATGTGTGTGTTTGTTCACTACATCTTTTGTACCAGTAATGTATTTAGTTGCCTCAAGGAACAGTGTATGTACAATGAATGATACAGCAACTGTCACTTGCTATACATTGAGCAACATGCATACACTTATCTTCATGTTTAAATGTATACAATGTATAAGTAGCTATTAATTTTTGTGTGATTATATTGAAATAGACAGTAAGTTTTGTTGTTTGATTAAATTGACTATCAAAAAGGAAAACTAAATTGATACACACTCTGCATATGTAGCTAATGAAATGTCTAAGTTATTAATAGAATTGATACTAATGAAGAGCTATTACAACACTAATATTTTCTACTCAGGGAGACATTATGCTTCTTGTAGTGCACAATGTTGTAAGTCTACATGATCAGTGCTTATAATGAAAATAAAACAGATTTCATTATTATTTTTACCTTTGAAGTAAAAGCTAAATCAAAAGTGAAACCACTGCTGTCCCAACTATCACACCAACTATCCAAGGAAGGACACAATTCGATCCACAGGATTCCATAGTGGAAGATGGTGTGCTTGATTCTGTATCTAATAATAATAATGATAATAATAATAATAATAATAATAATAATAATAATTTTTGGTTTTTTCTTTTTGACTGTAATAATAATAATAATAATAATAATAATAATAATAACATTGATATGAAAAACAAGAATAACAAGAAGCAATAAGTGAATAACGACATAAAGTATTTAATAGCAAAAGCAACATAATTTTACATTCTATTTTGAGTGAGAATTCAAAAATAGATAAATCCTAATATTTATGTATTCAGGAGGCTTCACATTATATTACAATAATACTAAATTTAAGTCTGCAAATTCAGAAGCACAAAATATAATTCCAGTACTAGACTATATAATACTGACTTGATACAGAACAAGACTGGTGAGAAATCGGAAAAGCTGAACAGCAACTTTGAGCACTTGGTGGACACGTTTGTTCTAGTACTGCAAGTTAAAAAATTATACATTAAACTATTTTCATTATAAGTGTAGACTACATGTACATATTTAGCATAACAAAATGATACTATTTTTTAATAAATTATCATAAAATAAGTTGACTCAATACCGGTACACCCACTATACCTATGGAGCCATTCTTAACAGTAGACCCAACAACATTAGTAATAGTAACAGTATAATTATACACATCTCCTTCAGTGACATTAGTGAATATAAACAATCTTTTAGAAAGACAATCCATTGATGATGATTGAGTTAAATTAGTTACAGTCAATTCACAGGATATTGGAGCAGGCTGTTGATTGATGTATTTATCCTATAAAATATAACAATTGGAAAGTTTTTAATGCTATACAACTTAAGGACTTTAAATTGTACCAGAAAACTAATAAAAATTTGTGCTGATTTTGGAGCCACTTTTTAAAAAAGCATAGGCTATAGCCTTGGATATTTTTTAAAATGGTTGTAACTTGAAAATTTTAAGATGGAATCAGCTCAAGCTTCTATATAGCAGAAGATAATACTGTAATTTTATTAATACTTTAATTGCCATGTAAAAAAATTATTAATATCGATATAACGCTATTACCTTAATTATTATGACCAGTGACAAACTGTTACTAATAATAGCCTCAACTTCAAAGTCATATTCTAAAAATAGAATCATGATTGTTAAAAATAGAACACTGCCAAGTTAGTACACAACTGTAGCTTATTACAACATTATCAATAGGAATAGATTAATGATGCATAATTTAAGGTGTAAAATCACTCACTGTTAAATTGATATTGAGTTGATAAGTTACCCACTGCACTCCCATAATAATCAACACTATTAACCAATACATCAATACTGCCAATAGCTCCTCC